CGGCTTAACATGCCTTCCGAAGCACGGAGGAACTCGAGATAGAAGGTTTTTGGTCACCCATCCAATGACCGACCACTGTGGAAGTTGCTTAAATTCAACGATCGCAGCCGAACGCGCTAACTACCTGCGCCATCGAGCTCCTCAAAATCATTTCTTTATACAAGTAATATGTTAACATATAATTTGCTATGGTGTTGCAAGACTTATTTTTGATATTATTTTTGAGATCTGTGTTAAATAAAATCTTTAAATATATAAAACTCAAAGGTAACTGACTGACATAGTGATCTATCAACGCACAGCCCAAACCACTGGACGGATCAGGCCGAAATATGGCATGCAGGTAGATGTTATGACGTAGGCATCCGCTAAGAAAGGACTTTGATCAATTCTACCCCCAAGGGGATAAAATAGGGAATGAAAGTTTGTATGAAACTTTGTCAATTTTAAACCGGTCTATCTGTGACTCTGAATGCAGGTATAAGAAGAATCATAGATGAATGTCATTGTGTATAATACAAGCCTGAGAACAAAAACTGTAGTCTACGCTTCAGCTCTACACCGAAGCGAAGCGAGGGTGGGCCGCTAGTAAATACAGAAGATTGAAACAAATTAATCATTTCATTATACAAGTAATAAGTTAACATATAATTTGCTATGGTGTTGCAAGACTTATTTTTGATATTATTTTGGAAGATCTGTGTGAAATAAAATGCGACAATAAAGATAAGAACTAAAAGATGCTGGTCAGCGAATAATCAATTTACTTTTATACGAAGAGAGATAAGCTTTGTTTGTTTGGTACTTTATCATTGAAGGTGTATGTTCTTGTTTGTTTCAGGAAAAGTTCAGGGACAGTATCACCAAGTTTCCGCCATAAAGAGTGCTTATATTACGGTTGATAAAGATTTGTCGTAACGGTAACTGGGTCGCAAGATCGTGCTGAAACGAAAAGCTCTAGCATATTGCCTCCAACTTTTTGAATTTCACCCTTGGTTTAGCTCAGCATTTACATTAATTACTACTTTAATGAGATTTATTTTACATTTTTTTATTGAAGGTGCAACAAATGCGACGGGTTTTGGTAACACCAATATCGTGTATGTGTGCGTAGATATATCAAAATTACGCACACAAGAAAATAAAATTTGACAAGCATCGCCGCGCTTGTTTTGGTTAAAACACGGCTTCTAGGCTTCATTATTCTAAGACATTATGTTAAGTTTCATGCTGACAAGGCAGAAAATGTTTTGCATAAAACTTTAAGCGACCAACTTTGTAACTTGTATTCGAAAGAAAGATGAATCAATTGATTAGGCTATTACAGATATTCACAATAGGGATGATGACTATTTTTTTTTCTTCGTTTATCAGGTAGATTATCAAAAAGTATTGGACACGTATTTTTTCTTTTTTCACACAATATAAACATTGCAGAGATATATTGATTTGAAAAATCGCATGACGTCACGTTTGAGTACACTTATAAGTGAAAATTCACTCAAAAGTGACGTCACGAGCCCCTACTCCCAAACTTCGACGCGCAATAACTTTGTCGTTTTTTGGTTGATTGCCCAAAGAAAAAATATGTGTCCATTATTTTTTAATCATCTAACTGACGGACTAAATAGAATTTCGTTTACTGTACCCCGTCATCACCCCTATTCCACGGCATGAGATGTTCTCATGCCGGCACTTTGCTATTTGTAAACTTGACATCAGTCTGTCCTTTTCGTTCCCTATAAAGCATGATAAGGACAAATCGTTGACAAGCTTATAAACAGCAAATACGAATAGCCAAGTGAACTGCAACTGAGCCGGCAACATGCAGTAGCTTTGTGTGATATTGACAAGCACTGGTAAGAAACTACAACTTTTTTTACCCTGTTTTACTCTTATTAACACAGTGATCTTTTCTTCTCTTTGGTAAACATATTGTGATCTAAAGAAAAGTTTTACTAGAAAAAACATCCACGCGGACCAGGCAGCGGACGGGACTCGAACCCGCACCTTTCGCAATCCGGGCGAATGCACTGACATTCATGATTTGGTCAGTGCATTCGCCCGGATTGCGAAAAGTGCGGGTTCGAGTCCCGTCCGCTGCCTGGTCCGCGTGGATTGTTTTCTAGTAAAACTTTTCTTTAGATTTAAACATGTAGCAGTTAAATGCTTAAAAAAATAAAAACATATTGTGATCTTCCAACAATCAATGCGACTATAATTTCTACCATACTATAGTAATATTCTCGATGTTACATCGTGCAACCCTATTGAAGCCGCCCATGAATATGCATGGCGCGAAAGTGCCGACGCAAAAGGAACAGAAATAGTTATTACATAAAATGTCGGTTGCACGAGCGATCAACGTCATATTGTTCTCGTTTTTCGTTATTATTTCTGAATGCGGTAAAAGCTGTTTTTGTTGCACACTTGCAACAGGGTTGATGACGGGGTACAGTAAACGAAATTCTATTAAGTCCGTCAGTTAGACGATTAAAAAATAATGAACACGTATTTTTTCTTTGGGCAATCAAAAAAAAAGTTATAGCGCGTCAAAGTTTGTGAGTTGGGGTTCGTGACGTCACCTTTGAGTGAAAATTGTACCCAAACGTGATGTCATGCGACTTTTGAAATCAATATATCTCTGCAATGTTTATATTATGTGAAAAAAGAAAAATACGTGTCCAATACTTTTCGATAATTCACCTGATAAACGAAGAAAACTGTTTTAAAAACTTTATTTTTATACATTGGTCCGACAAATGACTCCACCCCACCTGATGTTAAGTGACGGTGAAGTCCAAACGCGAAGATAGCTGGTACAGCAATTCTACCCGCCACACCAGCCATGCCGGCCTGCATGTTGCTTCTTCACGCCTCTTTTAAAGGATCCCAGGTTATAAAAGGGAGGGAACACGTGAGCGGGCAGAGCCTTCCATTTACGGATAGTGCGACAAAGAGATGAGTCACCAAATTTCTTTGTACGCGTTGGAATTGTGGCCACAGTTAGACGGTGACAAGTGACATTTACTATTAAAGTAGCTATCCGCGTATGTCTGTATATCCGCTGATTCTCCTAAGCTACGCAACGGTTTTTCATGGGGTTTCACTATCCGCTACAGTTTTTAATGTGCAAAATATAAATAAAACCAGTTTTAACGGGTTAATGCACGAAATTTATTTATTTATTGACGTTTCGCAGCCTTTTCAGGTCTGCATCGTGAGAATGACGATTTCTGACTGAATTCTGAATTCTGACGATGCAGATCTGAAAAGGCTGCGAAACGTCAATAAATAAATAAGGTTCGTGCATTAACCTGTTAAAACTAGTTTTATTTAATGAGTGATGTGCGTGAAAACCTAAGAAACAAATGTGCAAAATATAAGCTTGAAAACGGAACCAAGTACTTGTCTCTTTCTAATTTTATCTATATCCGCAAATTCAACGGAGATAACAGTTTGAAAATGCCTCATTTTTATTTGTAGAAAATTATACTATTATGCAAACGCAGGAACGAACTGTTGGAACGAAGGTACGAAGTGTGACGTGAAGTGCCAGAAGCGTGTTATGTCGTGACGTGTGCTTAAGTGCCTTAAAATGCATTAACATTAATCATTATCGAATTTTGCGCGTAGTTATAATGCGATTCAACTAAGAATAGGACCGAATGGGCGCCATATTGTGATGTCATAGCTATCAATTCAAACCAAATAGGTAGAGTGAGCAAAAAAAGTTTTTATTTAATAAAACTTATTTACTAAGATTAAGTGAGAAAAGCATTAGATTTTTTTAATAACATTTATTTACTAAGATTGAGAAAACAACCCACTGATTTTTAATAATATTTGTTTATTTAGACTGTGAGAAAAAACATTAATCAGAATCTAGCCCTTCAATTCCGCTCATCTCTGCATTACCGTCGGAGTAGTTAAGAATAAATCATGCACTATAAATAATAATAATAATAATAATTTTATTTTCAATAAGTTGTTACATCATGAACACATTAATTAATCAAATTCTTCAAGTTTTTAAACAATCGTAGATACATAACAGAGATAATAAAAGGTGTATTTTATTTTTGTTTTTTTTTTGACTAAACGTAACAATACTGTAGCATTTACTGTGGGTCCCACACTAGGAGAAACCTGTATCGTGGGCACCCTAATATAATAAATAGGATGGCGTCACATTAATAATTTATATGTAACAAAACAAACGTAATGAAATCTATTATAAATACTTAATTAAAATCAATATTGTATGTATGTGTATGTCTGTCTATGTGTGTTTCCGTGCGTGTGTGTGTTGGTGTGTGTGTATGTGGATATTACTAGGTCACATACGAACTTGCATCCTTTATGTAAACGAAAGTTTGAAATCGAGTTTCTGAACGTAACTTAAAGTGACATTAGGTTGACGATTTAGGTTATCAACCATTCATGGCTAAAGTTCAATAAGTGAAAAAAAAATATCAACCAATATTAATTATCAATATTTGTTATTGTTTGATTACAAATGTTTGGTTTTTATTCTTGAATTAGCGGAGTGCTAAAAAAGGGTTCCAAGATTTTTTTTGCAAACCGTACTTTTCAAGCGACATTTGACAGATAGAGGTCATTGGCTTTCCTATTCTTATTTGAATCGCATTATAAACGAAAGCGCTGGACGCAGTAAACGCCGTATTGCTCTGCGGTCTTGACGTCATTAGTACTGTAAATAAATGTGTTAGCTTGGTTGCTGACACTATGGCATATACAAGCGGTGTGACGTAATAATGTGGCGGCTACTACGTCTACTATTTCAACAAACGCATTAAATAAACTGTAAACATTGAAATTTTAAAATGTATTTTGTATATTATGAACTGGAACTAACATTCTCCGACTTTTTCTCAAGTAGAGTGAAATACTCGTATCCTATTCCGTTTCTAATCTAACACAGTGCTAGGTTTGGCTTCAAAACAGATAGGTACTTAATCTCGGTAGTGGTTGGTTACCTGGAATCGCTGCCCCAGTGCATCGCGTAGATCTTGGCGAGGTGTCCCCGCAATGTACGCCGCGTGCGCATCTGTATGCGGCCGATCGGCTCCAGGTTGGCGGTCGCCTGCGCGAGCGACGTGTCGCACGCCGCCTTGCGCGCATCCTGACATAGAGAATAGGGTGTCACCGCCTTTACGTAATAATAAACATAAAAGATGGCCCAAACTCCCTATTCCATCCATAGGGAAGGCCTGTGTCCCAGCAGTGGGGACATTAATAGGCTGATGATGATGAAACATAGAAGATGGATTGAGCGACACTCTTTCGAGTTAGCATTAAAGGTAAACACCTCATTAATGCCACTGGGCACTGCCTCGTCGCGCGACGTCCACCCGCCGCACGCGCGCGGACAGCTTACAGTATCCCGTGACGGATTTCAATGGGTATACACTTACGGAGTTGATGTAGTGAGCGTATACCCATTCAAATCTATACAAAGAATTTCAATCACACGAGTTGAGCCTATACTGATCTGGGGGCCATTCGCCTAACGGAAATGCTTTGGAAAACGCTAACGCTTTCGATTCTAATTTGTTATTTCTGACAGCCGATGGTTTTCAAATACCTCACGCTCTTTTTTTTTAATATTGTTATTATCAATGCAAAGGAAAAAAAAAGAGCGCGAGGCATTTGAAAACCCCAGGCGGCTAGAAATAACAAAATGAAATAGTAAGCGTTAGCGTTTTCCAAAGCATTTCCGTTAGGCGAATGGCCCCCGGGTACCGGGTGGGTCTAATTCGCTGTGACCATAAGAGTTCATAACACGAGCTCAAGAGTAGGATTCGAACCTAGCGACTTTATGAGCGCTGCCGTATCATCAAAGCAGAATAAGGAAAAGATTGAATCATTATTTATATGACTAGAGTGGGCTTTGTAAGAAAGCGTAAGTTTATCATTATTTATCATCATCACCAGCTTATTACCACTGGAGGGGCACAGGCCTTCCCTATGGCTCAAATAGGGAGACTGGGCCGTGCGTGACTCACCATGCGGGCCCAGTGCTAATTGGTGGGTACTGACGACTGTAGATGCAGCCGGGACCAATGGCTTAACATGCCTTTCGAAGAACGGAGGATCTCGAGAAACGGTTTTTGGTCACCCATCCAATGACCAACCATTACGAAATTTGCTTAACAGGCCGAATGAACACCTGAGCTCCTTCATTATCATTATTGTAGAGTTCGTCTCATCTAAAACTGAACGTCCCTCCACACTTTTGAGTTCTGTATTGAATTCGATAATGGTTCTTGCTAGGGGTACAGCTTCTGCCACGTTCGTGTCTAACCGGCGACTGAATCAATAAAATGACCAATGTGCATGTAAGAGTAAGACAATGGAGGGACGTTCTGTTTAAGATAAGATTATTATATCCTTCCAGCGTCTACTAACTATCGGCAGAACGCATACCTCTCACGTGCTTGTAATAATTTCAATATACTCTCAAACCAGGCCAATTTAGATCTGTTTGACACTAGCGAGGCGTATTATTTTCAATATGTTTTTTTAACAAATGCGGAATTTTGAAAAATATTTAACTATCGTACTCTGTATTGCAGCGAATACTGGCATGCAGTATGCGTGCATGCGTTTAAATAGTGCGTCCTTAATAAGCTAATCTGTTGTTATCTGCGAGGACATTAATTGGCTATTTGTTACTAATGTAGTTATATTGGGATACAGGAATTTTCCTAGTTCAGGTATCAGCCAACCATAGTCTGCTACATTGTACCATTGCTTCATGTAAGTCTTATTTGGATTGTGGTATGAGAAAATAAAAAAATATTATTATTTATTATATTTTTTGTTTTAAATTAGCTTGTGGGTCTTCCAAATAATAAATAAATAAATCTGTAACATCATAAGTACAACTCACTCGTATAGCATTCTTTAGTGTCTCCGCCTCCTGACGTAGGCTGTCCAATTCGTTCATGGTGCTAGTGGGTTAGTGGGTCCAACTCCTGGTTAGTGCCAACCGCCTGTGGGACCGCCTCCGTCCGCTTCCTGCGCCACGCACCGACCTAGGGCAAACAAAGAACCATCAGCATAATCATCATTAGCTTATCAAGATCTTCACTTGCTTAAAGTACAAGCATATGACCCGACTGGTGGTAAGCGGCCACCAAGCTTATAGTCTAACTGTGGCCACAATTCCAACGCGTACAAAGAAATTTGGTGACTCATTTCTTTGTCGCACTATTCGCAAATGGAATGCTCTGCCCGCTCACGTGTTCCCTCCCTCTTACAACCTAGGAGACTTTAAAAAAGGCGCGAAGAAGCAAGGTAGAACTGCTCTATCAGCTATATTGGCGTCTGGACTTAACCTTCACTTAACATCAGGTGGGCTGGAGTCATTTGTCGGACCTATCTATAAAAAAAAAGACGCTTGTAATACAAAAAATATCACCCACTCCGTGAATTCCTAAAACCTTACTCATTGACAGAAACACCACGCCACTAGAAGCTAGTGTTATTTTACTGTGGTCTTCTCAAAGATGGGGGGTTACTTGTCCCAAACAGGCGCTCGAATTCAAGCAGGAAACCTTTGTACTAACTAAACTTCAAACAGTAGGACAGGGTATTACTAAACTTTGTTAAACCAGTTTTTTATATTTTTTTTATTTTATAGTCATAATTTTTATATTATTTGCATTTGTAATGGAAAGTGATTTTATGAGTTACCTCATATTGAAGTCATTTTTCAATTAGACGACTCTGTATATAATACAGGGTGAAAAAAACAGCCCTTGCTGAGATTCTTGCCGGTTTTTCTCAATACAAGGTCTCCCGCCGTAGATTTGCGAACCGATGGCGTAGCTTTTCGACATTCACAAGTGCTTGTAACAGCCTAGACTGAATAAACGATATTGAATTTTGAATTGAATTTTTTTGAATATTGAACCCACTATGCCTCCAACCCACCCACTATGAAACCAACTTTCCCAGACGGGAAGACTGCTGGGGAAAAGGCCTTCCCTGTAGAAGGAATCAAATAGAGATGGCCACAGACCCCCCCAGTGCAGATTTATGTATGTAAAAAGACTCCAAATGCAGCATGCTGGGACAGAAACAGAGGAGCTTAAGATGTTCCACATATCCGAATATTGCCAAAACTCCACAATCTGACCTCTACGCGAACGAGCTCCTCTCATCAGCATTATACAGTACGATTACCGTGACAGAACTATTTGCGAAATTGGAACTTACTCCCATAAGAGTAAATCATCAGTGATAAATGTACAATTGAAAGAAAAGTCCATATAAAAAATTTCATTGCCCATTCATCATGGCTGGTTTGGCATACCATCAAAGCTCGGTTTTCGTTTGACAGATTTTATGCAATACTATTAATCTATACCACTCAACAATATTACACTTGAGATTGATAGGACACCTCGAACACAGACGCGGCCGGAGAAATTGTAGCAATTTATAAAGCAACGAAATCCCTCTGTATAGGCTTTCGGCGTTACTGGTAACACTACCTTTTGATGTTGTTTCTGTCGATGAATAAGGTACCGGGGATCCACGTGGTAAGGGATTGGGACAGCAAACCTTACCATATAGTACGACATATACTTGTTAGAAACACTTTTTACCATAATAAAAAATAAGGGTTGTAAGCCAATATTGTCTATCGTTCATTAGTTTTTGGAATTGTTCCGTTAGATTCTTAAATTCTACCTTCTAAAGTTAAAAACAGGTTTCTTTCACCCTTAGTCAAAAAATAGGATATTATTGTGTAACTACTACCTTTTTTTTTTGTGTGTGTCTGGGAAATGCTTTACGCATCCTTCAACCACCGGGGGAGACAGAAGAAGGTATGTGGGACTTCTCCTACCTACGCTCTGAACAGGGCTACTAAAAACCAGACAATACTCCGGTCACCCGACATGCATTCGGAGGACCTCAGTCCCCCCAATGCGTGTCTGGAATGCGGATTTGGTCATTGCACCCGATTTCCAATAGGCCACGCAAAATGCAACTACCTAACAACAAAAATGATAACTCGATTCTGCAATTCTTAGGCTAATGTAGTGTTTCCACTTAATGCTCAGAACAATGCTGCGTGAGAAAGCATTTGCTCCTTCTGTAAATTAAAACATCAGAGCGAAGGAACAACTTCTTTTAAGGATGTTTGACTGGTACTTAGTTAACGAAAGCTCTCTAGCTCAATCGTCAATGGAAACAACGAAAGGCGATCGACCACTTGCTCTGAGCATTCCATTTACCGAGCAAACGCATGTTTGCCCGTCCAGAACTGTTCTCAGCTTAAGTGGAAATCAGAAATCAATATATCTTTATTCAAATTGGATGTATAGTACAACTCTTTTGAATCGTCCAAATTTTTTTTTCCCTACCACTCGTTATGGACATATTTTTTAGCTGCGGAGAAAAACGAGCGACAAAAACTCACAACATTAAAAGTCTAATGTAACAACATTTACAAATCATTATGTTGTTACAACGTCAATACAATTATGATTTATTTAATATATAAAATCTGTTAGAATGATTGGAACAGTTCAAACCCAAGCATTTTTGTCTGTAATATAATCAGACACTTTGTAATAAGCTTTTTTTAATAAATGCTTTTTTATACTTTCTTTAAATTGATATTATGTAAAATGTCCGTTATCTTTACACGAGAGTAACTAACCCTCCTCAAAATAAATGTTTGGACTACGTTTACGTTGTGTTTTGTCTCTTCTCGTCATAATGGAATAACAAATCTTATTTGATTGATACACAGAGCACACCCACGTGAATTGATGTAAACAAAACACTGCGTGTCATACAGGTCACAAGCTTACACAGGCCCCTTTCTTGTGTTGTGACGCAGTTTAACATTTTTTTTCCTTGATAAGCGATTTTTTGTATAGAAAGCTTCCCACTGTCGTTTCCGTGAACTAAGTAAAATATTAGCTTTTTCTCGTTCGTTTTCTCGCTTACTCCCTTACTTGCTGATAAGGGAGTAGAGTCTGTGCGGAAAGAGAATGGGCGTGGCGAAAAATTTAACTAACATTAAGATTTTTATTTGCCAATCAAACCCAGCAATCTGTAAAACGTCAAAGTTTTGTATATGTACGGATTTGTTTGTTGTTGTGATTTCATGCGGTTTGTTGTATTTAATCATGTCTGGAAGGGGTAAAACCTTACAAATACGTTAGAAAGCACTACAGCGCCCTCCAATCTAAATCCCATTCTCTTTCCGCACAGACTAGCTTGTTTCTAAGCACCTTATAGTGACACCTTGGCCTTACATAAACAGGTGCACTATCAAAAAAATTATAATGTTTACGTAAACAAGTGCAGAATCAGAATGTTCATGGACAGAGTGAAATCCCAGTTATCTACTTCGTAAGTGACGGTTTTCTATTGAAGTTGTAAATTTTTATAGTACTTTTGTGGGTTTCTTGGCACGTGTTCGGTCAGTAAGAGAGGTGCGTACTATTCCGCGAAAAGATACAAGGAAAACCGTTAATACAATAATATGGATAATCAGAAAACGGACCAAAACGGCAATGAGTAATCTCAACCTAAAATTTTTCCTACTTCATCAAATGCACACGCCGATTCAATGAGCAGACCGTGCAAAAACTATGGCGCACTGTAAACTGCAAGCCGATTAAACTAGTGGCCCGCCCTCGCTTCGCTTCGGGGTAGAATTGATCAAAATCCTTTCTTAGCGGATGCCTACGTCATAACGTCTACCTGCATGCCAAATTTAAGTTCACTCCGTCCAGTGGTTTGGGCTGTGCCTTGATAGACCACTATGTCAGTCAGTCAGTCACCTTTGAGTTTTATATATATAGAAGACTAGAGGTACCCTGCGGTTTCACCCGCAATAATTTAACAGAAAAGGTTACACTGGGTCACCTTTAAAAGATAGACAAATGTTGTCGCGGACTTGTTATGGAACTTTCTAACGGGGAACAATTCCGTCGAAAATTAATAAAATGTCGTATGCTCATGATTCTATAATATAAAAATATACATTTGTAAGTGCTCAATATACAATAAGAAACCAAATGTTGTTTAATCCTCAATAGTTTATAGCGAATTCCATTATATATTATTGTATTTTAGTAAAAAAGACACGAGCGAGCCTTACAGTAGTCGCGTATGATGTGTAACATTTGAAACCTCACCCTATATTAGTAAAAAAAGAAATAAAATCTACTACAAAAGGAATAAGCCATTTGAACATTGTGTTCTAAAATCAAATAGCGCGCGCTTTCGCGACTTCCTGTTACACACTTCCGTCCCATTTCACGAAATCACTCCCACAAATTGCAGGAAAGCGAGAGGAAAGATGTTACACATCAAAAAAATATGGACTGGACTGACTGATGATATTTTAATATGAAACAAATAGAAAAAAAATCACGTGGAACTATTATTACCTCTCATCATCATCTCCCACATTACCAGATAATATTTCATAGAAACACCATGGAATTAAAATATTGGAATAATGCAAAATAGTTATTAGTATGGAATTAAAACACGAATGTGGGTTTATCACACGAATGCTTTAATACCTAATTATAACAGTTGCATGCTCGGAGTATCCCTGAAGGACCGCATCAGAAATGATGTAATCCGGCAGAGAACCAAAGTCACCGGCATAGCCCACCGAATTAGCAAACTGAAGTGGCAGTGGGCTGGTCACATTAGCCGCAGAACTGATGGCCGTTGGAGCCGGAAAGTTCTTGAGTGGAGACCGCGACTCGGTAAACGTAGTGTAGGACGCCCTGAGACAAGATGGGATGATGATATTCGTAGGCTGGCTGGAGTGAGCTGGATGAGAGGAGCACAAAATCGGGAGCAGTGGCGTGCATTAGGGGAGACCTGTGTCCAGCAGTGGACGAACATGGGTTGATGATGATGATGATGAACAGTTGCATGCAAGACTTTATCTACAACCAT